CTGCTAAATTAGGGACGGATAGCCCTCATGTAGCTTTGCGCGAAATTCAAAAACAAACAAACAAACTTTTACCTGTGAACGCTATATAAAAGTGACAGTCAGTCAGTCATGTTATTTTGCTCAAGTAGGACAAAGCCCGTGTGGCGGTAGGTGCTGCTGGCTACCATCCCTTTGGTTAGCAACTCAAATTCAGGGACGGCGATACCTTGCACTTTAGCCACGTGTTCATAAGGCGCCATTTCGGATGAAAGTTCAATTTCCTTTACAAATGGCCTGGCATGGCCAGGTGGTTAGAGCAATCTTCGGGTCGCGGTTTCGAATCCCATAACCGAACATGCTTGACCTTTCAGCCATGGGGGGGGGAGTTATATGTGACGGCCAATCTTACTATTCGATTAGAGTAGCCCAAGAGTTGGCGATGAGTGGTGTTGACTAGCCGCCAACAACTCCCTTTAATCTATCTCTTCTAATTAGGGGCAGATGCCCCTCGATTAGATTTGTGGGGAATCAACAAAACAAATAAAACACAAAATATGTCGCTGTTTTATTTAGTGTCAGTTCGTTAGTAAACCCTTTTGTCAGTTCTTTTACAAGAATACCATGGTAATTTTCTAGAAATTTCTCGCGATTAAATCATCTTGTTTTACTTTTTTTTCCCATATATATGTATGTATGAAAGATATGAAACGTTAAAGCCAATTGAAAATCCTTCTGTACAAAAACGAATTCCGCGAACTTTCCAGTCTGCATAATATAATATCACATAAATATTGATATTCTTGTTATCATCATCATCTTACTTGCCTGTGCTTGTCATTGACACTGGAACAATTTTTATAACAGGGCGATAAAAACCACTGAACAAAATTTTAGGCCATGTACGTGATGGAAACCAAGCAATTGATTGTGCTATGATAAACCATTCATCTTACCATAAAGACGATCCATTATGTGTTTGTGTGTGTGTGTGTTAGCATCCATCACCCACAGTTGGCTGGCTCGATTACCGTACTTTTTTGTATGGTAACTGGAAACTGTTTGACGTTGTAGAAGGGCTATCTTGTTTTAGGATTTTTGGCCGAAAAGGGAGATAAAAACACCTTGAAATAGAGCACATTTCCACTCTTTTATAGACTTTTGGCTTTCAATATAAAGACACAAGTACTTAATCAATTAAATGAGTCAATTATTACCTTCCACAAAGCGGAGTATGCAATAAGCATTTAATGAGGTCATTAGGGATCTAATAACAAAAGAAAGAAGAGGAACATTGTCCCTTATACGTTTTTGCTTCATTAACGGGTACCTTCAACTAGTGCTAATAAAACGAAGCCAGTACGTGTTAATCTATATATTCAAAATAAAGGCTTAATTATATTCCTGGAAACGAGATTTATTAATAAGTGAAAGTAAAGTAAAGTATATAATACGTCAACCACACCTACCTGCTATATCTAGTATTGATTAAACCTTTCGCTGTTTACCAGGTCTCTTCGTGCCGGCTGTGATACATTTATAATAGAAAATTGTTTGAGAACAACTGTTATTATGTAAACTAAGTTGACGTAGCGTAATGTTTTATGGATTTTATTTTTGTCACAGCAATAAGAATTAAGGCAATGCTTTTTTAACACACATTATTTATATATTGTAACACCGTATATTATTAATTAATTATTATATATCAAGCTTACCATTAAACGCTGAGAGTAAATAAACCGAAAAGTAAACTAGTTTTTCCTGGCTGTTTCAACATCAAAACTAGGAACAAAGTTTTCCTAAAGTTCCTAGCGCCATATTTTCTCACAATAAACTACTAGTATATATCATGTAACAGCGCTTCAGGGTTAGCAATAAGTACAATAT